TGGTTGCGGGAAATCCTCTGTACCGAGCAGTCGAATTTGCGTGTTTAGTTATTAGCGGTCAGTGGGTGGACGAGTGTTTGCCATCCTCATCATTATGGACTGCTAATTGCATGCAAGCTGTCCTTCCAATCACCGCCAATTTATCCCTTCCGCCAAGTTACGTTGTGACTCGCATTGGCTCGTACCATCTGTTTTCCTACTTCATTCTCCTGATCAGTAGGAAATCGAATGACTGATGGCAGAGCCTCGTTCTTCGCTGACTAGATGGATAAATCGACGCAGGTTTTTGCGATGTCGACGTCACTGAAGATGCCGATCACGAGTTTCAATTGGCAGACCGATAGTTGTTTGCGTGAGGAGAACCAAGTACGTGGAACTTACAAGGCATTTTGGGCATCCCAGTGACCATAGTTGACTGATGCATCACTTAACAGACATCGACACCTTTGTTGCGGCTCCATTTACACCACAAATATTTGAATATATACTTTCTCTTTTTTGACACCCTTGTGTTTGCGTCTCCATGGGCTGTGTAACTGTCCGTAAAGATGTTGGCTTATGGGCTCAACTCAGTGTTCAATGTCAACGCAGCAAAGTCCACCGCCATTTTTTTTCACAACCTGGACATTTTCCACTCCCAGACGCGCGTTTTCGACAGTTAGGCTTGGACTAGGCTGTTGGAGCAATCAGCTTGAACAGACCCACCTGCTTCACACCTGCTCCACACTGGCTTCATTTCCACTCCCACAGTTAGATAGGCCTTTGTTCGGTGGAAAGAATTCGAGGCTCATTTGTGCAGCAAGTCCACAACCACCCATGATTGCATGCATTCGCGTCTTGCTCCACAGCGGCCAGCAGTTGTGTCACTCAAAACCCACTCCATCACCCCCTCCATTCTTCGTATTCTTGTGTGCACGGAAAATGCGCTCGCTTAAACTCGACACATAAGCGACGGTAAATCGCACTTATTCAATACGATTGACTGGTTGACTGGCGATCTCGCACAATGACAACTCGACCATCCTGCAACCACCAACCATCAACCATCAAGGGCTCAATTACGACCAGCCTTCACAAAGGCAACTGTTGCATTCAATGGCCTAGATGCAAGACTAGCAGACGACGCCAGGCCAGGATCAGACACAACAGATAAGGTCTGCGAATACCCTTTAACTGACTAGAGCTAACAACACTAGCGCCAACTTCATGCAACTTCGCTTTTTCCGCGTGTTGCATTCGTTCGCCAAGCCTTTCATCGGTGCCTGGTGGTCCTCTTAATTCATCAATCTGTTGAAGGATTTCACCACAAGGTGTAACATAGGAGATGGGGGCGAGGTGTATTGGAACTTGCGACGACTGGGGTATTGGACAGGAGTAAACACGAATCCCTACACATCCGTTCATCCATCCATGCATCACTCGTTGTAGGCGTGAGGCCAAATTGCCCACACGTAGGTCAGTGATAATGTGATATTCATGACTAATTTGTCGGCAGCGTCAGCAGCAGCTGATGCAGCAGCAGCTACTTTTGGTTTTTTGGAGAGATATGAGAAAAAACCCCATTCATCACGCCTCAGAAGATGTCCATGAGAGGAGTCAAACGTGCTTAAAAAATGACCTGTATTGGTTCTGGCCTCCTCATATTACGCGGAAATAAGCCGAACATTAATGTGGCAATCCAGAGACCACAAACGTTCATCGATCTAACTCGTTAGCCTGCTCTGAGTGCACGAGACGCCAGATGACGCACGCCGTAAACCACAGCGTCAGTGAATACATTCCCGCGACATCATGGCTGGCTGAAGTCTCCCACTTGTTCACTCTCTCTCCTCATCCTACACCAAAACTACGATTTACACAGAGATCACACAAGTCAACATTTCAAATGCACTGCGAACACACATGCTTTGAAGTCATCAGGGGAGCACGAATGTGGACTGGCAGTGAAGCCCGAGGCTGAAGCTTAACTGACTTGACCAATGACACAGCGAATCTACCTCCAACAACGACATCGTCAAAAGATGCAGTGGATAGAGTTTCGTTTGGCTGAGGGTGCCAAACACTCGTCCACCCACTGACCGCTAATAACTAAACACGCAAATTCGACTGCTCGGTACAGAGGATTTCCCGCAACCAAATGTGAATGATTTACTCCCCTGCCACCCTTCGCTTACACAGCGTGAGTGAAAATATCACACCTTGCAAGAACTTAGCACTTAGCACCTCGTGAACTCAACTAATCAGCTTATGATTCGGCGGATTAGGTGGAATTAGTTTTTATAGCAGGCGCTAATCTCCTGCATGCACACCTCCCATTGGCCAGTGTCACCTGACTCGAGTTCAAGTGAGCAGTACTGTAGAAATGCTTGCAAGGCTGGATCGTCGACGCATCAGTTGTGTCTGTTCGTGTGGTGGAAATGGCGTGCGACAGCAAACTGGTTGACATGAGTCTAGGTGAGTTCTCCACCGACCGCTACTGCTAACCATTTATTTTCATGCATTGTTGTGTCAGTGTGGTTGGTTCAAGTGTTAATATTGGTTGCAAATAACGTGGCATTTCTACTATTTTCTCATTTGTGTATGTGCGTGTGTGTGCGTGTGCATCCGTGTATTGATGTCGTGGCAATCGTGTTTGTGAGTTGATTTGGCGTGGCATTTTGCGGTGTTTAGATGAAATCATAAAACTGAAGAGAAAGACTCGACAAGTAGTTGGGAAAGAAGCAAGAGGTCATGAGGGCAGATTGACAGCGAGGACGGCGGCTGGCGCTGCACAAGCAAGACCACCGACTCACAAGATGTACCGGCAACATCGACGGCGCCAAAATGACATCATGCGAAGCCAGGAGCAGACCCAACGTAAAAGGTCTGCCTATTCCCGTCAATTGACAGGAACTAACAACACCCAACACAACAACTTCCAGCAACAGCGCTTGGCTCGCATCAGGACGACCAGATACAGGTCGAGGCGGGAAATCCAATCTAACAATCGACGTGAGTGCGCTACACGGTGTACTGGGGTGAATTGCTTTCATCTCGAGCAGGATAATTGCATTTCTGCGCACATTGTAGAGTTCGCAGGCCATGAAGCACAAGTTCGAGGGACAATCACACCTGGCCGAACTGTGCAGACGTGCAACAACATACCGCTGCACGTCTACCAGCAGTACCTAGCTCAGGCTCGTGCCCTAATTCAGGCGCAGCAAGAATGCCGCATCGACGACGACTCATTATATGTGGACGTGCCAGTACGCAGTCGTGGATTCTGGCGAGGTGCTGGCCGCGGTCGTTTTAGGCGTTAGAACGTGCGCGCTTGCATTAATTCTACAAGCATTTCATCGGTGCCCGGTCGTCGTCCTTCATTGCATCCTGCCATCCAATCACTTATCCATCCATCGCCAGTATTGCACCCCCAAACACTGCTCTTCCGTCAGTCTGGAATGCGCCTGCACTTGCTCTTTTGACTGTGCTCTCACCACTACCCCTACCACCACCACCACCACCCACTCTGTCCACGTGACCATTCAGACGCCCGTTTTGTTTACTACTTCCCTCAACTGTATCAGTCATGACAACACACCTAGTTTGAGCTCTACAGTAAACGGTTGTGCCTCGTCCTCTCTGGTCTTCTTATTTCCGTTGGCACCTAGGGTAGAGCAGGAGGCCGAGATTGACACGATGGCTCTGGCGAAGACTAAGCCTGCAATAATTGAACTTCTCTGCACATTGATGAGTTTATTGGCTGTGAGTTACAAGTTCTAGCGATAATCACAGCTGGTCCAACTGTGCAGACGAGAAACAATGCTACCTTTTCCTGGAATAGACTCGTGCCCTCATTCAGGCCGTGCAAGAACCCCGCCTTTGGAAGTATTTTCTTTGTTTACGTGCTTCAACGCAGTAGTGGAATATCGCGAAATGCTGGTCAAGATCATTGCACACGTTATAACCTGCGTGCACCGTTGCCTGGTCGTTTTCCCCATCCAGCCCTCCTGCCAGCCAGCCAGCCAACCCTCCCTTCTCTCATCCATCCCTCGCCAATATTGCACTCTTATCATGTTTTCATGTTGAATAATGCTTTCTTGTGTCTAAGTGTTGAGTGATTGAATTACTATGATAGTTTGTGGTGGCTGTTGTTTCTGTCGTTTGGGTGTGCTTGCTTTCAGCGCTTTGTCCATCGCTTCACCCATCGAACCTCTGCTCATATTCTACTCATAAACATTATTGTTTTGCCGGAATGAAAAACCCGTAAACCCACACTTTTGACTATGTTATCAGCCAACTAATTTGGTGCTTTAACGCATGGCCGGCCATCTCATGTCGAGTAATCGGCTCGTGTGAGTGTGTCGAAGCGCTGAGCGTCGTTGTGGTTGAATTGCTGTGGATGTTTGTTGCAGCCTGGCTTTGCTCTCTGTGGGCACCAGCACCATACTCTGTAACTGCGATGTGGACTCGGAAAGGGTTGCATGAAAGGACAACGTGGGCATTGACTGGCTCCTCTCCAGTTAATGCAGCAGCGTCGGTGCTAGCAGAATTTGTGTGCCACCCGTGAGTGAAAAGTGGGTTTTGACGAGCAGATGATGGTTGGTGATATGGAGGCCACTTGAGGTTGGCTTGGCCTACAATCCATCTTGGATATGTGTATTTTTAGCGTTTGCTTCCAGACTAGAAAAGCCATCTTGCCTTTGAGCTGTTTGTGGTGGGCAGTTATGTAGATTTCATTCGAAAAACGACTGTTATTCTGATGTTGTTAAAATTATCGATGTTAACAATCTGCATCGTTCGAGAAACCAGAATGGAGGTGATTTTGGGTGTTGTGAAGGCAAGCGAAAATTTAGTCCTGCTCTTTGGTGTTAAATTAGACGCGCGATTGCATGGAATACTGTCAGGTGATCGTCTGACTGCTAAGACCAACCTCGGCTTGCATAAACCATGCCTGGGCTGCAGAAATGTTGGCATAAGAATAACGCGAATGCTCCCCCTCATAGTGGCGTCTTCAAACAATTGCTGACCTACCGAATCTACCCGATTTGTTAAACCATCCTCACGGCGATGGCACCCTGGCCTCTGATTTTTGATAGCCGAGCCTTGCTAACAGGCGATTATGATGGTACTTGTCACGCGGAAGTCAGAGTAACTGAAATATTAGCGATTAAACTGATGCTGAATATGCATTAAGTGGCAGAAAAACGTTTTGATATTAATTCATTTAATTAAAGAAATCTGAAATTTATTTAATCACTGAAGATGGGGTCTCTAAATTGAAAGTTCAATTCATAACGTCAAAATTCATACTTTCAGAGACAAATAAATCAACAGTGAATTTAACAAAAGTCAGTAATTTGGGTGGCAGTAGGGTTCACAAAAATCTCTGCAGCTTGTGCGCATTTGGGTGTTCAGAGGGAGACAATTGGGTAGCTTGCCATTGTGGCAATCCCACACATGTTGCCTTTGTTGCGAGCCATCCAAATGTACCCCTTCTGACCCCACGAGGTGCCCCAACTGTTCTTCACAATCCAATACTTGTTCCTGGAGACGTCTGCGCCATAGCCGACCACGAGCACGCCATGATCCAGGTAGGTGTTTGAGCAAATCTTGTCCTCGTAAATGCCGTGGCTGTGTGTTAAAATAAATGGCATGCAAGAACTCAACTGAATTGGTAGGCACCTTGCTTTTTGTCAGCCAGCGATGCACAGTTATTGGCTGATGAGGCTATTGCCATGTTGGTGGGCCCCATATTGGGGCTCCCAGAGCTTGCAATTTAGTTATGAATTCTCGATTATGCGGTATTAATACGGTCCGTAAACTTGGTCAAATTGGTGTCAAATTAAGGGCAAATAATGTAGCATTGTCAATGAAAATTTGTTGCCTCACCTGTAGAATTGAAAGCCGCTGCTGGCGGCATCGATTGCGACAGAAATCGGACCGACCTTGGCTACACTGATCTTGAGATATTTCTCATCTTGCGTTGGCAAATCCACGAATCTTTTCACTTTTGTGACCACCTTCGAGCGATTGAAACGACAGCGCCCGTCCTACAAGTCAAAATACCCATTTAAAGAACCTTTTGGACTCGACATGAACTAGATTTACCCCAAATAAGGTAATTGAGGGAATGATCTAACCATGCTATTCATTTTATCGAGTCAATACCGTCCAAAATGACATGTGGTAATGGTAGTTCATTGTTTAGGCATTACCGCCAATCATAACACGTAATATTTTACTCTGGAAGTTATCCCGATGGAGCAGACACCAGGCAATGATTTAGTACTACGTTGAAGGACACTATTAACTGCGAGTTCTTCATATCGACATTCATCTGTTCTTGTTGGTGCATTACGTTGTTGTGGATGGTGTTTATTCACACCCCCTTAATCCGGTCGCTCCATCCTACGACACAGGGTTCCCCTTTTCGCAGCATGTGGCCAGCATCGCAAATCCTCAACTTCCCCCTCATTCGCATGAATATTTACCTTGGATTATCCTCACACCTAGGTCTCAATGTTGGCGTATGCATGACTCACATGTCTGAGGTGGAAATGCATACGCGTAAACCCCACACACGACACAACGACACCAACGTGGTGGAGCTCTGAAGTAAACGGTTGTGTCCACGTCATCCTCCCCGGTCTTTTTCGTCACCGCGGGTATCAGGGAAGCATAATAGGGGCAGGGTTAATTCAGTGGCCCCGGCGTGGTTCAAGACCACATGCTGGTGCCCATAACAACGTCGTATACGCAAAATGTGTGTAACGAAGAGTAGGTTTCCTTAACCTTTACCAAAAACCTGTTTAAAATGACGAAATCCAAGCAATAGGAGGTAATTACAGGAATCACTGCTGCGTAAAGCAGTAGTCATTATCCCCAATCGAGCATAGACCTGCGATGTTGACGATAACCAGATAATTGGAGTACCCATGTTTTCTACTTCTGCTACGACAATTAGCTGTGTGCGGAAAATTTTGATCCGACGGGTAAATAAAAATGTTTTTTTTTTTAGTTTCAGCTACGTAATGCATGACAGAGATTTTGGTTGTTGTCATCCAATAACCAAATGCTTTATTTAGCTGGATTGTACCAACGTTAAGTAACGCGCCCCATTCAAGCTGAGGTGGCTCACCCGTGCCGTGTAGGGGTAGTCCTTTTCCGACTCAGAACCAAATTTCATCCAATACTTGAAAGCTCCATCCATTAAACCGCCGCCGCAGCCGTCATTGCCTTCTGCGGTGCTGCAGTCCACGAGCTGCTGTTCCGACAGACTCGTCAGGTTCCCAGTGGCTTTTTTCAATTGACCTTCCAGAGATCCAGTGGAGGAGAACGCCCAGCACGATCCACAGGCCCCCTACAAACGCAAAAGATTGTGAGGGGGTCAGACGATCTTCACCGCGATTCATGGTGATTGGTTATAAAATGATATTACATGGAAAGAAGCAATGTCGCATGACGGAGTTGTCTTACCTGATCTTTGACTGGTGTCACGTAACCTAGTTTTCTCCAGTCAACAGAATCAGGCACGTCGACTTGATGGTGAAGACTTGCGAATTCGACATCCCTTTCCATTTGTGTGACGCGAGTCGGTGGGTTCACTAATGTGAGGTACTTCTCAGCAAACTCTTTGAGCGTCAAATCAGCGAACTGGTTCAGTGCTGTGGCGTAGGTCTCTAGGCCCAAGTAGTAACGCTCGTTGTGCCACCTTGTAAACATGTAGTTGTTGACGAAGATTCTCAACCGAAGACGTTCCTCTCTTTGTGTCTTGTAGCTCTTGCCGTTTACCAGCTTCCATGACTTCCAGATGGTATTCATGAAGGGTCGACTGGCTCCAACAACGTCCAAGAGCACAAGTATAGTTGCCAGAAGTACAACAAGACGTCCGTTCTGCATGATACAATCTTACCAACTGCGGACAACACAAGATGTTGACACTTAAATGAATACCGGCGTTGTTTTCCAAACATTCCTGGCTATGATGAAATGAGGTCACGCCAAATGGCAGTGATTAATCGCCGTGTTTTCCAGTGTGTTTAGCTAACAAGCTGGTGTTACGGTGCAAATGTTTTTGGGTATTTTCCACGGTGACTTCACTCTTGGTCAAAATGTCTTAACAATCAGCTGTCATGAGGCGGCAACATGAAACGCGTGTACACCGTCTTTGGAATTAAGGTTATTTGAGGCGTGCAAAGGATCCGATTTAAATGAAAGGTTTATATACTACTCACAAACAGCAACTCTCAGAATGGACCATTCTCTGGAGGTAGGTTTCACGCTTCAGGGGCAAATGTTCAAAGAACTCTCATAGAACTATGGAAAGTGTTGGTAGGCTCGAATCATTTCAGATTCGGCCCAAAACTGGATCGACTTCTTGCTCCATAGAATTAGTTTCCGATGCAAACCTTATGGTGCTGGTTGTTGACATTAAATGGAGGAATCATCAACAATATTTCATCAACGTCCTTCCAAGTAACCCTCTGATGCCGTCGGTGATCAAACCAAAGCCCTGATTGAGTCTGATGCAAATGAAATAACTTCTTTAGATAATGCCGAAACACCGTTAAATGCGTCAAACGCACAATCACTGCAATATATCCTAAACTGTCACCAATATGTTGAGAAGCATAAGATCTTGGTTCTACATGAAACTGTTGTAGAATTTGCAGAACCTATCATCATGTGGGGGTTGTGGGCCCAAGAATGTGGTCTTGAATCACGCCGGGGCTACAGAATTAACCCTGTTCCGATTACGCTTCCCTGATAACCACGATGAAGAAAAAGACCGGGGAGGATGACGTGGACACAACCGTTTCCTTCAGAGCTCCACCGTGTTGGTGGCGTCGTGTCGTGTGTAGGGTTTACACGTATGCTTTTCCACCTCAGACATGTGAGTCATGCATACGCCAACATTGAGACCTAGGTGTGAGGATAATCGAAGATAAATGATCGTGCGAATGAGGGGGGGAGTCGAGGATCTGCGCGGCTGGCGACATGCTGCGAACATTGGGATCCTGTGTCAGAGGCTAGAGTGATCGCATCGCCGAGTGCGAATCAACGCGACTCACAACAAAACAATATTTGCCATTTTTAACGTAGACGCAGACGCCTTTTAAAAAAAACATTTTACTTAGGATGAAAATGGCTGGTTAAACTGTCAGTCTGGTGGAAGTACAATGGTTTTACAAAGTTGGCTTGCTGCCATGGCAACCGTCCTTTACCAACCATCAACCGACAAATTGAAAGCACTATCTTTCTTTGCTCAAGCATCTAATCCTCCTACACCTCCTTCCTTAGCACCAACCAGTAACTTTGAGCTGTATGCGTCCTCATTGCCACCTTTATCCGCTCATTGGTCGATCACGCCATGGGTGATGATTGGACATCATCAACTATTCACGAGTTTGATCTAACCAATGGGCTCGGGTGAAGTGATTTTGATCGAGCATTTTTCCAAAAACGCAGGTTGGACCTCCCTAAATGTAGTCGTTAATCAGCCTAAAGCTGAATTTCTAATTAATGAATGAACTAGAGCTTGTGCGTATATTAATTTCTCACACTGAGACTTTTGTCTTGGGAGTGATATTTACATTCCTTCTCCAACTCCACCTGCCTAAGCAGCAGTTTACGCTGATTTTCATCTTTATCCCCTCAGTCTTCGAGTAAGTCCCAGGTGAAAATGGGATATCGTGATCCGGGCACTATTTGAACAAACCAATGGGCTTTGAGCAAGTGATTTTGATTAAGCATTTCGCCTCAGATGTACTTTAAACCACCTAAAATACATTATTTACTCAGTTGAAAGTTAAATGTTCGTTTTCTGATTGTAAAACGCCTGTGAGCGTATTACTTATTTCCACTCTGGATAGGCCAATTTTAGGTGACTTACTTTCCTCCCCCGAACCCCACTATCCTTGGCATCACTCAGTCACTCGAGTTTGGCATTAAAGCATTCTTTGTTCTCGCATCGGTGCATCATGCCTCCGGGGATAATTGGACAGTTCAAATTTTTCACGACTTGAACTAACAAATGAGATTTGAGATAGGTTCTGATTGGAAACTTTGTCTTTACATTTACGTTAGACCTACCAAAATGCATTTTTAATCAAAGCTAACTTGCGTTTTCATTTAACTACTTGATATAGCCGGTGGTAGTATCAATTTCTTGCACTCATAGGATTTTTTTATTGTGTTGTGACATCTGTCATACAAAAGCATCAACAACAAACAGAAAATGGATGCATCAAAGTGGAGAAGAAGAAGAAGAAGAAGTGACAAAGGCGAAGGAAAAAGCGAAAGACGCTAAGACGATAGCGACAAACGATCAAGAGGTTTCAGAGGAATAGGTGATATAACATTACCCAATAACAGTGACATTGCTCGTGTACTAGGATTGACAGGCAACTAGATAACAGCGGACTAAGAAGGATGTATAGGAAGAAGTTAAATAACGAGACGGGAACGCGCGCCAATCAACACATGAGGACTTCACGAAGACACGTTACGCACTGTTAGTTTAAATGGCGCCAAAAGTGTTCTATCGTTTGTTCAAGTAGTGTTGCTCCTAGCAGCGGGTAATGCGTGCAAGGAGTGTTCGCGAAGTGGCGTCAACATTCGAGGATTGATTGAGGGAGATGGTCCTAGCCTTTTTCCGGCATCTCCTGTAGGGTGTGCCATTGTGCAATTGGTCGACGCGGATTGGCCAGCATGTCTGACCAATGACGGAGGCCGGCTCCCTGAGCATTACAGCCCAGAACAACTCGACCAATCGCCTCTGAGGTGCCGATTCGATCGTAATCAACCACCGTGACTATCAAAGTCACTTTCTGCCATTAAAGAAAGAGAACATAAATACACTACAGCTCCACTTGAATAGGTAGACACAACTAAACCCTTTACCTGAATATGTTCAAATGGAATTTCGAAGGCGAAGGACTCGTTGTAGTAGGGATTGAGTGTACACTTCTTAATTGTGGTCTTTTTCTTCTTGATCCGTTTACCACCAAGCATGAGAGACAACTTGACGTAGGGATCTGTAAACGAGAGATCAAACATTTGCCATTTTACTTAAAAACATCAGTAGGAGAGTGATGTTTCCTGTGCTCACCCGACAGGCCACCAACGTCCATCTTCTTCAAATTCTTCGCCTCCAAAATATTCACGGTCAGCTTACCAGCAGTTGGTACGTACCGCAAAGAGAAACAGATGTCGCCGAGTTTGTTTTCCTAATTAATTCAAGAAAAGCGTTTGTAAACGATCGCACTTTAAGTTGACTTTTGGCAAGACTCGTGTTTCGGTACCTTCTCGTCATCATCAGGTGGTAGGAGGTCACGCCATTCCTCAATGACGCGCGCCAAGTCGACGGAACCCAGTGGAACAACGATCTGGCCGATCTGGTCGTGCTTCGAGAACCTGTCGAAGTCGAAGACATTGAATCGTATTGTTTTGCCTGCAACTTCTGCGTACGGAACCTGTCAAGTGGAGACAGAAAGAGGTCTAGTTACTGAGCCAATTAAATTGGTTTTGTGTAAAAAATTCAAAATCACTTGAAAAAAATTAGTTTTGATACAAATTTAAGTTGGAACGTCACAGGTAAATGCTCAGTTAGCATGAGATGGACGTGTGAGGGAGAATACCAAATCGCTCAGGCGAAATACTCCGAATTTCCTGCTCCGTTCTTGACGGCTATTGGTCAGTTCCAAGGTGACCATTTGACCCTAAATGCTAGCAAATCAGACTATTAATTAGAACTGTGGAAATTATGATGGCCGCACAGAAACGATACAATTAGCTTCAAGTCATTTCCTTACCTTAGAAACAGCCTCTAACCACCTCGGTTGAAATTTAAACTTACCGTGATTGCTACATCCATCTATGTAAATAAAATGCACAGTTATGAAATAAATGAGCTACGGTAACAGTAACATTTATCTCGTCAGTCTTAATTTACACGTTGTTTTAATTCCAATTTTTACTAGGCGCCGCTTTCAATTTTTCACATAAAAGAGCGGTACTCATAACTAATGATACTTTTACTGTTTTAAATTTGCTGCTTCCTAAGTTGTCAGACCTTCTACACTGCTTTTTATTCATTTCAGTGGAAGAAAATCGGACAGATTTATTAAATTTGACCATAAAAGTAAGCGATCTTTTCCGTAAGCAAGTTATGGATTGCGAAGCTAAGGATTCCACATCGGTTTGTACACGACACTAAAATCCAGAGTACTACGATCTTCAGTGGACATGCGGACAAATTTCCAGTGTAGGTGAGACTTTTGAAATAGTCAACTCCACGAATCCCCAAGTGTAAAATATTTAAATTGGCGCCGATTTCTGACATAGAAAACTGATGTTTCACCATTTTACTTCCAATCCTTCTCCGTAATAACTGAGATGGTATCTTCCATTTGAATGGTACTGCTTAGGGTCACATGGGAGCCATGTGATTGGCCTTTGAGCTTGCAGTCTGGTGTGCGACAGGGATACGCCCAAAAACGGTGCACTTCCGCCCAAGCTAGCTGTAATTTCCGCCAGCTGGACTCGCCCGAGGTCAAACATTAGCCAGCGACTTGCTATGAGAACCGCTTACACGAAGGACAATTTGTGCATTATTTGGTTTCATTAAGATGGCAATTTTAAACACCGGAATTGTGCATTCTGGTTCACAGGGTGAAAATAACCTCCACGTGGAGCTTTCGCTTCTCTCGTACAAATGACTGACGAACCGAGTCCAGAATTCGCCGATTGGTTCGATGCAAGGTCGTAATTACATTTCCTTTAATGAATAACTGAGTGACCTCACCTTGAAGAGGAAGGTTTCATTGAAGACGGGATTCAGGGTCTTTCTGTGGACCTTTGTCTCGAATTTTTTTTTCTCAGGCATGAGATACACCTTCACGTAGGGATCCGAGGTTCCTGACATGTCCATTCCTGGTAGATCGGTGGCCTGAATCACGCCGACAGTCAACTACAAGTTACGTCAAAAAATTCGCATTGAAAGACTAAATTAATGCGTGTTACGCGTGGCTGAGTTTAAGAGCGAAATTATTAGCGGAAGCGCCGAGAGTAATTTGTGATGCAGCAGAAGGATTCTATCTACTTCCGGTGATGGGAGTCAAGTATTCTGCTGCAGTCGGTCGCATTGCATAATTTATTTGAAGTAGCTAATCAGCGAATTTCGTTCAAGGTCACGGCCATCACCGGTGTCTTCTTCCGGCCTTTGGATTGGTTCTGAACTTTTCAGTTTGGCAGGAATATCAGGACACAAAAAATCGATTGGAATAAACAACGAGGTTGCTTCAAGGGCATTGCTGAGGTCTAATTTTCTTCATTCTAAAAGAGTGTGTGTGTGTGTGGAAATGTCTTGTTACTAGGATGAGCTGGTGAATTCACATTTTTACACCGACACTAAAGTCTAATTCACACTTGAACAAATCACATTTGAACTCACCTCGCCTTTGGTGAAATCGTAATCAAGGGAGAACTGCAGTTTTCCCAAATTCTGCTTCTCCTTCTCCGTCACGCCCTCATTGTCCTCCATATTTTCTTCCAGCGCCTCCAAATCACCCTGAAAACACGGGAAAACGGTGTTGTCCACTTAAACAAGACGCCTTTGCACAAATCAGATTTGGCAGCCTCTTAAAATTGATAATTTCTTCAATTCGAGCATCCAATTACAATCATTTTGCTCATTTTCCTCAAGTTGACCCCAATTATTGGTCACGATTGTCGTGTTTATTGAATATTCAAGATCCGCGTTACTACGGTGATTTGACCTTTAGAAAATAGCGCGGGACTCGAATTTGAACACCAAAGTACTCTTCGCGAAATATGTCGACTTCTATATTTCGACAGTAAACGTGAACGTTGATACAAGTGTGAAAAACAAGGAAGTAAGTAAAGAAAGAAGCTGAACCTACGACATTACTGATTTGTTAAATAAGTAGAGCAATACGATTTGAATATTGAAAGTAAGGGTGACAAAAATTCTCGATTGCATTGCAAGCGTGAAGCAGACGTATTTTTCTGGGGATTGGCTAGCTAGTCAGCAGCTGCATTGTGAGTGGCTGCTTATAAATAGCGCCGAAATCACGGATAAGCCTATTGGTTACCTCCGATGGCGCACCGATTTCAAAGGAGGTGAATTCGGTTATTCGTGACTTCTTTTCCGCCCGAAATTTAACTCAACGCAAAAATAAATTGAAATATTCAAGAAAATGGCAACTTAATGCCAGTGGATAATGACCCCATTGTAAACTCGCACTAATTTGTAGCGAATCTTCACAATGAACTATATTTGGTCAAAAACCAACTTGTTGAACGTTTCATATTCATAAAATTAAGCCGTTGGTAAACTGTTAAATCTCTCACCCTGATCAGTCTCTTTTGAACGCAAACGTATTAATGTGGTGCACATACTACTCATACATCCACGAGTAAGCCCGCTTTCGTCAATGTCGGAGACTTGGCGTGTAGAGTTCAGGTTGGTTAATGATTTTACTGCGTTTGTACGCAATAACTGACATAACATTTTTCGTAAGGAACAGTTTCATTTACCAGAGTCGAATTTGTCATTTCCACTCATTGGAACAAATTTGAATCTCAAAAAACGGTGATCTTTCATTAATCTGGCCTGCAGCTTAAAATTTGGTGTGAGGCCTATTAGTGAATGTTCAGACGAGAAAATAATCAATGCTAAGGAAAGAACCATTTGATTCGTCCTAACAAACTCAAACGTCGTACAGACACAAAGCATAAAAACTGATCCCACAATTGGCTGAGTTTACACCAATGAAATTAGTCTAATGTGAAATCAGGAATTGCGCGAATTTTACTAGCCTTCCTTCCCTTGTTCACTTGAAAAAGTTACTACAACGAGAAAACACAATCTCGTTTTTCGTTCAGTGGACGTTTAGACAAAGTAATGAATTAAATAGGAAATAAAGCGGACGATCACTCACTTGATCCTTTCCCAGCTGTTTCCCTAGCAACTGGACGCTTTTCATGTCGACCTTCTTCTTGCTCGCCTTTTCTTTCCTGCGTCGTTTAATGAGGCCACGCTTGCACAAGCAGTAGAGAATGAGAAGGATGAAGAGAATGAACCCCACGACCATCGCAATCACTGCAGATGGTGGAACTATAGAGCAACAAAGGCATAGATGTCAAAAATGAATTCCTCAATGAGTCTACCTCTTCAGATGTCGCTAGTGCTTCTCAAGACTTGCGATTATTTTGATTGGCTGTCGGACAGAGAAATAGTTGATGGTTTGTTTAGAAATGCTGTCAGACAAATGATCATTTGACGTTCAGGATCGCGTCGCTAACACGGCGGAAAGCCAGCAACCAGCAGCCACATGACATCTCGTAGCCGGTGTTGGTCAAATAAATTAGATATTTTGTCTTAAACCCGAACGATTTAGAATTTCTGAGAAATTTGGGTTTCAGAGAGCGTCTGGAATACAAGATCCTGGTTTTACCTCATATCCTAAGTCATAGTCTGATGCAAAATGAGCATACCCCAATACCTTCATTATGCTTTTTTGCCTGAAATACAATTTCTTTAGCGGAATTGCCTATTTCAAACAAATTTTTAGCTGTCTGTTTTTTTAAACATTTATAACCTGATGGCACGAGTCGATAACTGGGCTGGTTTCAGAGAGTTAATGCATCAAGTGCACCTACTCCTGCTGTTGATCGATACTTAAACAGCATTTTTCATTGGCTGCGCGCACATTGACCTTAAATTCGATTGGTTGATTTCAGTTCATTTGCCAATTTCCTATTTTAAATGTTGACAAAAGGACTAATCAACCGTTGTCACTCTTATCGATTTCTGCGGATCTCTTTTCAGGCCAAATTTATTGGTTTGATGTATGTTCAGTGTCAACGGCAAGCTTTCACCTGTCGTACGCAGCCCCATTTTATGCAAAAATTTAAATTACATCTATGAAAAACACACCAAGCAATCACAACGATCCTGGCGACTTGTTAGATTATAGATGTCACTATCCTGCCACATCCAAAGCCAGCCTCATTGGTGAATTTGATTATACTCGTGGAGTTTTACGGGACGATCACGACAAGCCCTCCCTGTTCCAGCCGCCGATGTGTTGTCATGCTAGCCAGTTGCTGAACCCTTGGCGCTGGGAATTGCACCAATGGTGACCAAAATTTGAGTGATCCCATCGTGTATCCATCTTCCTGCATTCACCTGGCAAGTGCTGTACTCCTCAATTTCTCGTCCCAAGTCATTCAAATTGGCCATTTTCTAATCAAGCAGCAAACCTTTTGCGTTTTAATGCCACGCGCCTGGTGCATTCAATCGTGATGCAGATGCTACAGACGCGATTCGCCAAAACACGACGTCGCTGAAAATGATCCGCTAATTTGCAGAACTGTAAATTGTATCTAAGTGACACATCTTGTTGCGGCTGACCTCTAACTTCAATTAGGACGTTCTGAGTGCCTTCTTCGTTTTAATTTGGAAAAAAATTGAATTGACAATTGCTCCACCCCCTAAAAGGATTGAGACACGATGCATCCTTGCTCGTCAATGCATCTAAAGGCCAGCGGCCTCTTCTTGGTCTGGAAAAATAAGCTTTGACCGGCAAATTTCAGTAGAAATGAGCTTTAAATGTATGCGGTGCATTGTGGTGTGGTGACCCAAGGACAAACTTACCGTGCAGTTTCTTGGCCAAGTCGTTGATCACCACCTTCACTTGGTCTTGTATTTTTGCATTAGTGCTGAGGTTTTTAGCCGGTGGGGCTGACGAAGCAGCGAAGGAAGTGGGGGAGGTGGAGGCGACGGGGGCTGTCGGGATGAGTTTAGGCGTGGGAGGGGGCGGCATCTCACCAGAGGGTATATCCGAGGGGTCACGAGGGCTAGATTCTTCCATCTGTGCTCGGCTGGGCATCTAGAACACATCAATATCGTGTAATTTAGTAAAAATGTCTGTTGTCTGCATTCGCCTCGCAGTTGGGCGCTTTTACCAACAAGGACGTTCGCCCATTGGTGGAAGAAGTCAGGAGATCGATAATTCTGCGGTGCATGGAATGCATAATTTTAGTTGACTCGTGAAATCTTGACTAGTAGAGGCTCAGACGCCTGGCTTCGAAACAGTTAGTTAGATTTATCAAGTTATCATTTTTCCGCGAGTGACAAATAGTGATTGTCCACAACTCCATTAAAAAATTGCATGATAAAAGACGAATAGATGAAGGCATATTTGAAGTCGTGGACCCAAATGAGTTTAAAATGATCTCCCTCTACACTCTAAGGCGATTTTTACCTATTTAAATTTTATAAATTGGTGGGCGTACGATAATAAAAATATTTTAAATAGCATTTTGCAAACCCCAACGCACCGCTTGTCGCCTCGTTTGCTGCCGCTGCCACTGTCCAAGCAAGGAGGCGGAGGAGTAAGAAAGGCCGCCGACGCTGCAGCCTCAGTCACTCTCACTGCAGTGACCAATCAGCGCGCGCCCTCAGAGTAGTGGCTTTGAGGCACAAGTGAATGTCGCGCTGCTATTGGTCCAGGCGCGATCCATTGATTTCACTGCAGCTGATGCATTTTCGCGAATGCATGCTTCCGTGCCAGTCGGTTGGCGGGTCGCTCTCGCCCTACGCCCGACCCACGCATGAAAATTTGCATTTTTAGCCCATGGAATGGGGATTCTAGAAAACACAAAACGATATTTTTAAATGCCCAAAACCAAATGTATGGAAGGATGCAGTGCTTTTGGCAATTTGGAGGGTCCAAATCAATATGTGTGTGCAATTTTTATCAGGAAATATTGATTCTTGTAAACACAGATTGGTTAGAAAGGGAAATTATTGGCTACAGAAACCAACGCTGTTGTAATTTTAAATCGCTTACAACTAAGCTTTTCCTTTGATCACTCTACTTGGACTAGATACCTTTTAAAATGACAATGGTCTTCCCTTCTTTGAGTTTGATTGGACATGATTAACCTTGGCTAATGAACCGTAGCCAATGGTGAAGGTGGCAGTCAGATGCATAAAACCAGATTTGATTCACTCAGGCCCCATTTTAAATCATCAGTCAGCCAAGATAATTAAAATTCATTGCCATCAAGACCATTATTCACAAGGTCTGACGTGTAGATGTGCAAAAGGATGCGTAAGTTGTATGATACTACTGAAATTTATCTAATACAACCCATGACGACGCAACATTTATTGAACAATACTAACTACCTACATTTATAAGTAGCTATTTTTTCTGTAGTCTTAATCACGTCTTCAAATCGAAGTTTGGTGCATTTACAAACAGGAATAAAGCAGTCCCAATTTTACGGTGAAAAAATAAACTAAATAGTAGAGCTCTCGAATTTCAGGCTTATTTAAGAAGTTATTTCTTACAGCATCCGTGTTTTTTACGTAGGACATGACGCAGTATTTCGAATACTACTCCTTTTTACCTAATTTGATTCTGAATTATGAAGGTCACAATTTGTGCATGCATCACTGTAGCATCTAACAGATTTGTAGAAAATTACGGGATACCGCTGACGGGAGACATGGAGAAATTTTGGAAATCTTCCCCCGTGTTGTCGCACAGGGCCTGCGTTTCATTAAAATTAGAGCCGTTGTTATTGTGCGACTTCAACGCCGCCTAATTAATTAACCATGTAGCTAGTTTTTCTCTGCAAAAAGCAACTGGGACAGCGAGCTCTAATTAGCCTGGCCTGGTAAGAAGTGAATTAGCACGGGCAAGCAAGTAAGCGAGTGAGTGAGGCAGTTGGTTGGGACAAACGCTACACTGGACTCCTGTAACTGGGAGTCCACTCTCATCTGCGTGTCGCGCTTGTCCCAACTCAAACCCACGGCCTCCCTCTGATCAGGGCTTCGATACATTCGCGGACACGACCAGTATGGCGTGTCCTTCTGTGGGAGTGTAAAGTGCTGCGCTTTGGTTGGTTGTTTGCAGAAAATTCACCTTCTTGAGAAGACGACTATTTGTGGCTGGTGGAATTTGAAAGACGGAGGTGACGTGAATCGGAACTCCAACCCACGGTGCAACAGTCAGGTCAAACTGATTACGGCACGCGTTCCCCAGTGTCTGCATGAATCAATAGGGTTACGTGGCCAGCATCCACTACAGCACGCTATTCTTCTTCAAAAATATGCTGATTTTCAAGTGAAAACTGAGTGGTTTTCACCTAGACCAGATGCCAACCAATCAAATGTGAGAGCAATTAACGCGTGCCTAAGAAATGATCTTAGTCGGCTGTTTGAGAATTAGACGTGATCGATTGATTGATTGATGCCACGAGAACCCGCTGCATGATGATCACCTGGGTATTGAGTCATGGTGGTACTGTTTCAGGCAGTGGTGGTGACGTCACTTCGAGTGGGCTCACTTCTCTCACACTTCCATCATGTGATGGTTTTTCGTGGTTGGTGGATTTAGTCATGGCGTTGGTCAAGATGCATTCCCAATCCACACCAACTGGCTCTCAAAGATGTGGACGCCAGACCATACTATTCAACTCGTCTCTTGAATAACTGGCATGACGATGATGGTGATGATGATTTGTCCTCCCTCACTACATTTTCACCTCTCCTCACAACGGCGTCAGCCCAGCACTCAACTTGTAGAGTCAGGAAAGTGCAGCCAGTAAGCTATCACGAATTCCACCAGCGTGTTTTTATACAACACATGATTACTCATGTGCCCTCTCAACACGCCCAGTCGCATGTTTTCGCGTCAATCAACACCCCGCACAATCAGTGCTAGTTAACGAACGTGCCACAGACAGTGGCGTGCTGTGACTGCGTTTTCCTGCAACCTCAAGTCAACAAACAACTAATTTGGTGTATCAAGTTGTTGAGGCGAATGTGTGTCCGATGGTTTCCCTTTGCGTAGTCTGTGCGAGATCGTTGCCAAGGTGAGACCGTGGCTTGAGAATAGGCTTAGAGGACCTTCACAAGTCTGGCGGAGGCTTCGAACCTTGACACTTCAAGGTTGATCCGATGTTGATTCATAGCTCGTTTACCTCGAAGTGAGCGTGACATTGAATTAGATGATCGTTATTGATGTGATCTCTTCAAAATTGATGACCAGGCAAGACCATCGCAGGAGAACAGGGTTCCACGAGTTCCTCACGTCCGGCGGAGGCTTCGAAACTTGGAACCACAAAGCCACAAGAAGATCTGGCAACGCTTAACCACTCAGACCTAGTCGTCTGACTTAAAATAACTGGTAAAGGGCACAAGTTTGTCAAGTTACTTGATGCTGAAGATCCAGGCTTTGATCATGGATTCTGTGGCCGACATAAAAGCCTTCAAGTCTCTGTCGTATACGCCGTATTTTGTCGCTCGTCGTTGGCAAAAAATGTGCTAGAATGAATTATTAACTCCAGCCATGACGATGACAGTTAGCCCATTTGGAGTGTGTGAGAGACTAAGATTTAGGCAATCGGAGAGGTACTTAAAAACGAGGTTCTCTGCTCACACCCCCTTGGATCGCACCTTGATTGGATGAAAGGCGACAAAGACGGGTTGCTACGGCACCTAACCAACCCCCAAATTTCATCTCATTTTCCTTTGCGTGTGGTCGTGTGACCGCTTTAGTGTCACAGAGAAGTGTCTCGGTTAGTGGACAGTGGCAATCAGGTTCGGTGTCCTATCCACGTTGGTTATTCCCACAGCCACTAAAATGGGCGGATTTATATTTGAAAGCCCACCCAAAAGGGCTTTCTGATTGGCTCTGAGAGAACCTCACTCACGATCGATTTTCTGATTTCTATTTACAGTGATGGTGAGGAATAATAAGGCGTAAAATCGATAAGTCTTGAACGCTGATGAATGATCAACTTCAGTTGTGAGTTCGCTAACAAGCAACCAATCATCATCTGAGAGGCCAAAAATAGCCATCTAATTGTTGGTTACGGTTGGCAAGCAGCAACGCGGTTAGCTATTAATTTTATGCGAAGTCTTAAAGTGGCAACGATATTGAGTACTAAACTTGAAAGACAAAACGCGGGATTGTAAGATGTCCGTGGCATGACTAGATGCCTCCTCGTGGACCAACCACGAAGGAGTCTGGTGACATCGTAAATTAGTTAGAGCAGAGACCGTGTGACCTGCTCAGGGTCATAAAATTCCAATAAATGCGTGCACATTAAATTCTTATCTTTACCAATCTGCGTGACAGGTGTGCTTTTAGACGCGTGAACGCGAGCATCTGAGGTCACCGTGTCGGTGACACACGCAGGCACGCCCGCACAGCCTCGCAGGCATCACAAATTGCAAGTCAAATTAGCAAAGGGATGTGGGGTTGGGGGTGGAAGGTTAAAAGGGGTCAGCAGCCCCTTCCGGCACGGTGGTCGTGCCGTGACTAATCCCAGTCGCGACCCTGGATACCAAGTGACGCACTCGAGCGAAATTCCACGCCCGCACGAAGTCTGCAGTGTATGTTTGAGAAAAACTGTACAACCAATTGCAGGGCTGAACAGCAAATGCGATCGATAAGCAGGCATAAGGAGCCAATCAAATTCGCTTTCAGAATCAAACAAAGTTACGTCCAGAGTGAAGATTTGACTGATCAGAACTGCCCGTTTTTAATGGACTGTATTGGAAGACGCCCTTGTTGACTAACCACACGTACTAGAACGATCATTAATGAGGCATGCCATGAAGGTAATTGGTTGGACAACGATACTCGATGATCAATTACGCCGTTCGGACGAGGCGATTCAACAGAAACGACCCAATGGTCGTTTGCAAGAGATTCACATCCCCCAAACATGCAATTAACCGCTCACGAAGACGGCCAACTTCGAAGTCGCTTGGGATGTTTCAACGCATCCTTCCAGTATTGTCAGCTTGACACATCTTCCACTTGGAGTGGCATCTGACGACGCTGAACATCGCACGAACCGACTTGAT